CGAGCTTTAGAAGCCGGCATGGAATCATTATTTACTCGTCTAGTGAGATCTTTAGCATCCTTCTATGATCAGAACCCTAAACATTCAAATTGTTTGATACGATTTACGGTTAAAGGAACCATTTTTTATCCCAATCCCCACTATCTATAATGTGTACAGTCAGAATTGAAACAAAGGTATCAGCTGTCCGGCGATAGTCATTGCGAGTTCCCGAAAAGCGATGACGCAATAAAGCTCGCAGGTGATCCGATTCGAGTTCGCGACGAGTTTTCGGCCAAAAAAGGGTGAACAAGCTGAAAAGCTTTACATCAGCGTGTCGATTGCAATTGATTGTGATAATGCGGGCTGCCCATTAGCTTTTTTTGTAATTCTTTTTATAAATTTTCCTAATAGACTCTTTATTAGATCGTGCTGACAGGATCGTGTTCTTTCTCGGTCTAACACACGTATTAGCAACATCTCTTCTTTCCAGCGATGTTGCTTCTTTTCTGTTTTCTTGTCATCTTCCCTTCTATTTCAATGGCTGTCAAGCTGAACAAATGTCGTGACACAGACATGAACTGCGCCACTTGGGTAAGTTTCAACGATATTGAGTAACAGTGCGGTAAAGGTGTTTTAGCAAGATGACTGCTGCTTGACGCCACTTCGCGCTCCAAAATTTATAGGGTTTGATAAAGTGTTTGTCACTTACTAGTGATCCCTTTCAACCAATTCAAGCGCAAGATCATGTCCAAATCCAGTGGCGGCCTTTGTCCTAATAGCAACCGAGTACAGGACACATCACTGGTTGGGGATTTTAGTCGATTCTGTACGACCCCCCCCCCTTTGGCCCTCTGTTCCTCCTCATCGAATCGAGCCGTCGAGGGCGGGGGTGGGATGAGAGGGGCATATAGTACGCATGAAACAGGAAAAATCACGAAAAGTCAGGCAACCTCCTTCAGAAGGTCAGAAGAGAAATACGACCCCCCCCCCTCCCAACAATGACCAAGTACGACCCCCCCCCTTTACAACGTCCGTGAAGCGAGAAAAATCAACTATCAAAATAAATTTTTCCCAGCCCAAATACGACCCCCCTCTCCTGGCGGCCAAATACGACCCCCCCCTATTGGGGATTCCCCAACAACGATGTGCCCTGACCGAGTAGTTCACTAGGGAAAATGGTCATCTATCTTGGTCATGTTCCCATTTGGCGTTCACTTTCAGTAGCGGATATCATCGACAATGCGTTGAAAATAATCGATGACTTTTGTTAACATTTGTACAACGTTTCTGAACAGTAGTACAATCGCCATCCGGGGTCTTGATTAGGGCTGCAAGAGTCGCAAAGCGGCTGGGGCGTGTCACGAGCGCGGCGATCAGCTGCGTGTTACGAAGCGTGGCTGATCAGGTGCTGCTCAGCGTATTTTTAGGTCAGTTTTTCCTTAATTTATTTAATACACCTTTATGTGCTTGCTTTTCGAGATTTTATGTTGTTTCTTTCTTCCACGAGATAAATTTATGATATTAGAGATTCTCTTGATTTGAGCACAATTAGTAGAGTTAATGAGCAGTCTAATTGGAATCAAACACCTGAAGGATAATTTCGGGCAGAGAATATTTGTTGATTAGTTACAGAAACAAGAAAACACAAATTTACTCGTCCTCATGTACTCATGAATGACAAAAAAACAACGCAGACTCGTATGGGAAAGAAATTGAAAAATTGTTTAGTGAAAATTAGGTGTGTAAACAGCAGAATTGGACTGTAAATAACAGCCTGATTGGGCGGTCGTGACGACCCTTGCCGCTCTAAGCAAGTCCCCGGCTGACGACTGTAGCTCCCCGCTGATAAAAGACGGACTCGTTTTCGGTGAACGCTCCTAGGTTTTATTCGGATACTTACAACTCAGTATTCCGCTGGATGTTTTCTACGTTAAGTCCTGTAATTCATCAGTCGAACCCCAAATTCCTCCGGCCTTCCCGATACCTCGGGACATGGGTGTAAGTGTAAGAAGATAGAATGTCGGGTAAGCTGCGCCTCTCTTATCCTGGGTAACCTCCATTGTAAGCATGTAGCTGCATCCTTCTAAATATGGCAAGTAACCCATCAGCTAGCCCAGAGGGTTGCTCGGTCCATACTAGGTCCATATTCCATAGATACATACATATATCTATGTCGCTGCGATTCTGAATGGGTAGCGAATGCGTGGCGCATTCCACAGAGGCGTTGATCAGCACCCCTCTGCTTCAGTTCCTATTACCACATGTATGTAGAACTGTATTCGTATTGTAATTGTATCTGTATGTATGTAGAATTACCGTATAAAAGGTGCACTGAAATTCCTCCAAGGCTTCTGGAAATGACATAAATTTCCAACTTCTAGTTTCCAAAGCCGTGTAGGGTTTCGCCTTATGTTATGTCCTAAGAAAATTGTGTCCCTCGATAGGTAAAAAAAACTCGCATTTGCCAAGAACATCTCCATTGATTTTGCCATCTTATGAGTTGAGCCAATTTCCGCGCTTGTTTGAAGAGATTCTTCAGTTTTCCAAGCTAGTTTCCGCTTTTTTTGAAGAGATTCTTTCAGTTTTTTGAGCTAGTTCCTGCTCTACGTTGTATCTGTTAAGAGTTTTGCCTAACTAAAGGTGAAAAACTCGTGTTTACCATAAATTTTCCGCGCTATTTCTGGTCTGAAATCGTCATGCGAAGATAATGGTGACTTGCGTATATATCGCGTACACCCTTCCCAGAAACCGCAAATTCCGCTTACCGCTTGGGAAACACTGCAACACTGCTTGCGGATGACGTTATCCACCATTCAGCAGGACTGACTGAAGCTCCGTAGAGGTACTGCGAGTAGTGCATTCTCACAGCACACCGCAGATAGTTGTCAGAGACTCGACAGCCTGTGAGGGGGGGAGCGTCATAAGTATGCTCCTTCCTGGAGAGGAATCGAATTCGACGAGAAGGTTTTCCGCGACGTGATGCTTGACCCTTGTGCAAGATCATGAACTTAATTTACGGCTGCTGCCAAACTTTCCATGCGAGCCAGTTTGTCGCTACCACTTTTCTAACTGTGAGAGTTTCCATAGAGAAATGTGGGAAATGTGTGCAAATGTGTGGGCGCCAAGTGTCCACAAATTGGTAACTTTTCTTCCTTCTTCGATCACAATTGAGGCCAAACGCAAACATTCATAGCATCGACGCAAGCACATTTGGATCCAAAACATGGCGTCAATTGTATATGGTTCGAACTTCTTCCAGATTGAGATTAATTTTGTGTAATTGAAACAGTCAACAGCATTAAGTAGTAATTGTTAAAAGCTGCCTACTCTTAGATCGCTACGAATAGGTCGAGCTGCGATGCTGAGTCGGGCTTGGTCGTGGAGCATTGCCCACGGATGTGCCAAACATGTGGAGAAGTCGTTGAACCAAGTGAGAAGCTTGTCTTGCTTTTGAATGTGTACGTAACTATGAAAATCGCAACCGCTTTTAAGGATATGACGTCCGTCGATTGCCTTCCGAGTTAAAGCCTATTGCATGGATGGTTGGAAGGTACGGCTAGTTTGTTTGAAGTAAAGCTCCACTGACTGGCCCTTGACTTAAGCCCTTAACTTGAAAATTTGATGCAGGGGGCCCCAAAAAAAAGTCACTTATCAGCAAAGTTTTCGCAGCCCAGACAGAGGACGTGGATACGAGTACCAGGGCGGAAGATACCCAAGATGTTCCTCGATAAGCAGGAGCTGGCTCTCGCCCATCACCTTCATGTACACCAAAATATGAAGTCATCTCCAGTCGCAGCCTGACTGGAGAAGACCTTTGGAATTCATGTCACCTCCAAACAGCTGCGAAACTTCTAGTATGGAGTCACCCATGGATAGCTACCTGGAGACCAGTACTCTCGATCTGGATGACCTCCAACATCGAGCAGCTCCGACAACGTCGCCACGGTCTAGGACATCATCTTCACCGCAGTCGCCAAGGCGCGGGAGTTGACGGTATTGATGGTACGGACCGGATGTACCTGGAATGGAAGGACCGATATTTTCTTCGTACACCCCGGACTGAAGGTGAGCGCTGGCGGTTACATTGGGCAATTCGAGGAAATATCCTCCTCACATGTCGTCGCCCGTACCTTCTTGGAAACTTTGTACTGCTACAGCATTGGGTGCCACCACATGGAATCGAAGGGCATTGGAGAAACTCTCGCCTACTTGGAATGGAAGGGGGCTGAATACCCAAAGAAGGTGGAATATCCAAGTAGGTCACCTGACCTGAATCCCCTCAATTACCCGGTTTGGGCGGAGTTCAATAGGGTGGTCTTACTGTGCGGAGAAATCGACTTATCTCGCTGCATTCAAGGAACCACATCGCGGTTACGGCTGCCACGAACTCTCGGATGGCGCTCGTTTAGAAGGGCTCGGCAGTGTCATGATAATATTTAATATTGCTCTTCAAGATGGCGGTGGAAATGTCTAATGTCTGATCAGAATTTAATGAAGTGTAACTTATAGCTCAAGGAAGAAAAGTGACTTTTTTATTGGGCTCCCCCTGTAGAGCCTGATAAATACGATTATCTTTACCAACATAACCGCGGACAGAATGTTGGCACGCACTTGTATTTCATTATTTCTTGTAGACCACATTTTTCCCTTTGAATTTCTCTCTACTCATTACCAACTAGCCAATCCCATTTTCACTATCCGAATCAAGAGGTGCACGCGCTAAAGAAACTGAATGATTGCCGGTGCTGATTGCTAAAACTAACGCCCCACTGTTATCCGCGCTAATTTGGCACTGCATTGTATGAAAGCTTTTCCATACCATATTCTTCCCCAGAAACAATTTCTGATCGGCTTTGATAACGAAATAGGTTCATATGGCAGAGCCATGGCTTCTTCTTTGTCACTGGAATCTCAACGACGTGTTTCGAGTACGCTGTGAGTCGAGGAAACGCTATTCGGGGCGTGGGGGGAAAGGGGGGTTCAAGTAGTACACATTAAACAGGAAAAACCACAAAAAGTCCGGGGCAAGCTTTAAAGGAAGGTGAGAAGGGAAATACGACCTTCCCTCCCAACAGCGAATAACTGC